TTTCAAAGTCAAAAAATTTAATTATAGTTTTCACATAAAACACCATGTTTACTTCAAGTCATATTGTGGTCATATAAAGTTTTCATGGAGTGTCAAGACAATTACTGAATTAAAGAGCGTTTCTATATTTTATCTTTAGCATAAATTATCTTGCAAATGTGTTTTTCAAACAAAGAGGACTGAAGTCAGTGTTTCCCCTCTTTTCTCTTGAAACAGGACTATTCCAAGTTTCATCATGTGGAGGTGTTGGTGAAGGCCTCTCTCCATGTTGATAGCGCAACGACAAACACTATGCTGAGGAACGCCGAGACAACAGTACAAACATATTTTATGATACATACAATAAAATAACTTTTTTTTCTTTCTTTTATTACATTGCATTCAGTTTTCCATAAAAAAGTCTAAAATAATGCTTATATTTAAATACTTGTTTAATTAATATTGACTTTTTACATCACAAGCACACACAGCCGCTGGTACTTTCCCGCTAATTAGAGACGGGATTTTTTTTTCTTCAGTGTATAGTAAAATATTTTTGAATTGCCAAAAACTCTCCGTGTTTGGATCGTCGATTGCAAGCTTCTCTGCAGTAAAATAAGATTGTATTTACTGCAGATGTATCACAAGTTTCCGTCATTTTGTTTTATATGAGCGGAGCAGATGACGACAAGTGGATTTTACTTGTAATGTGTAAGATTTTGAGAAAGCATCGGACAGTGTAATATTTCAAAGAGTATTTCAAAGAGTATTTGCTGCTTCACTTAGATAACCTACTGCTACTAAAATAATGCTGATGTTTTTGTTTTCATTTATTTATTTGTTTTGTTTTCCAGGTGAAACTGTCTGTGTTTCCAGAGAGGCGTTCTGCTCAGTACGGAGGAGTGCCTTGGTGGATCATCGTGCTGTCCATCCTACTCGGCCTCTTGTTGTTGGCTTTGCTGGCTTTCCTTCTTTGGAAGGTAAAAGTGAACTATGGTTCACACCGTACTGACTCATGTTAAACACATTTTGCACATACATGTATGTAATTTCAATTCTATACACTTGTTGGACTGTTGACACCATGAGCAGAGCTACTGCAGGTAAAGTGATCAAACACGTTTCTAATGATTTGCCTCTCTTCAGTGTGGAGTCTTTGAGAAAAAGAATAAAGAGGACCCATCAGAAAAAGAGAAGCTGACATCAAATGCATAAAAAGTGAGAGGGTAACATTGGATCTGTCAGATATTCAACTTTTCCCATCCTGCTCCATATACTAATATAGGTGCTGAATCAAAATGTTTGCAAAGAAATGATCCAAATAAGGTCTTCACACATGATAATGTGTGTATGGTTTTACTTGCATGGCCAAGGTGATGGATGATATGCAATAACTGGGTTACCTATTGCTTTAAAGACTATCATTGGCGCTGATTATCTCCACTCACTGATCTTTTCTATTTTTCCTCATTTTGTTGCCTCTGAAGATGCAGTCACTTTGTCTGCAGGTTTTTTGCTCCCTGTCTGAAATAACAGGGCTATTTAAATAGATCCCTTCTCCAGAAGTAGGCACAGTCAATCAACACACTTCTTTGTTGATTAACTTAATTATGCTGCTGCAACAACCTACATCTGCTTTGCTGTCTATGGAGGTTGTTAAAAATATTTCTTGCAAATAATTTTAAGGTTTTCTTTTATTTGTCCGCAGTGTGGCTTTTTTAGTCGTGCCAAATATGAGGACAAGGTCCCCAGTTACAGCGCTGTTCGGATCAGACGGGAGGAGAGAGCGGTACATTCTGCAAAAGACAATTGGGGCAACTTGGAAACAAAGCCATGGATGACGACTTGGCATGACAAGGAACATTATTCCTAACAACAACAAAAAAAAATCTATCACCTATTGTTGGATCAGCAGAATCCCATTTTTTTGCTGCCCTGCCTTTGCACATTGAGGACTTGTAATATTGAGATAGAAAGCTAAATCATTTGGAAATAAGTCTTAAGGACTGAATCAAACACTGTTGTGAAGGGACCTCGATGTTCTTCAACTAAATGTATGAGATGGACTTTCTCAAAGGCTGTCTCTTATGCATTTTGAGCTTAGAATCATGGAAGTTATAAACTTTTATTTTAGTGTTTTGTACATTTGAATGACTTGAACTGTTTGTATTTATTCTTGCATGGAATATTTTGGTTTTTGTTTGACAAGGTGGAAGAGATATGCAAGGTATGCTCCCAAAAGATAACACAAAAATAATATTTTCGGTAAATATATATCCCCCCCACCCTAAGTCTGTCCTCATGGTCGGCCTATTTCCTCTGCCTCTGTTTGTACATATTCTGTATCTTGAGTGGAAACTAAAAACTAACCAGGCCACAACAAAAACCATGGCGCCATGGAAAGTGACAGGGACTTAAATGCTTTTTTAATAAAAACTTTTAACTACTTTACAGCTTTTTTTTTTTTTTTGCTCAGTTGTGTTCAAATTTATTGTAGCTCGCAATATCCATGATGGAAGCTTAGAAAAATATTTTCCTTTCAGACGTGAGATCAAACGGGAGAATTTGTCCAGTGAAGAGAAGAACAGATTAGCAGTTTGAACAACTAACCCCCTAAGTACATATAGAAATGTTCACTATGTTACAGTCTTTCTGTAATTTGCCAAAGGTTTTTAACAAAGGCCTCTTGTAAAAAAGAAAGCCCAAAAAACATAAAAAAATAGAAAGAAACCCTGATTGCGAGCACTTGGGCTAGCAATAAGACAAAATGTCTTTAAACCGTACCATGGTCTTAAGACTAGTAGAAGGAAACTTATAATTTGTCTTTCAGACAAATGATAGTGTTATCACTTGTGTTTGTGGACAAATAATATCACTACATTGGGAGACCTGGAAATGTTGAAGGTTGAATAAGGTTGAGGAATGCATGAACTTGCCAGAGTGCATGGTGATCACTATGAATGTGAGAACATTATGACAGGTAAAAACAGGTCTGAGCATCTGAAATCTTGTTTCATTCGAGAGGCAACGTCTGGATGCAGTGGAAGTTGCCAGACAAGAAAAAAAAAAAGGGTTTGACCAAAATGGGAAAACAGATTCTTGTTACAAAACCCACTGAAAGTCTAAAGTAAACTGAATTGAATTGGAAATACAGGAACATGATGGGAATACTGCAAAGAAGCAATAGACACATGTATGCTGGTTAATGAATTATTGCTGTAGATGTGTAAAAACTAAGATAAGGGATTTCTTGTGATTTCAAAACTGATGGAAGAATGTGTTTTACCATACAGGAAACTGTGCTTCACTCACATGTCTCTATTCTCCGTTACTGGACCTGGACTTGCAGCTTTAAAAACAAAAAGGGCCGAGGCGCAGGCGAGTCCAGGCGCAGTCTCTTCAGCTTCCGTGTGTCTGTGTCAGAGAACTGGCTTCACACTATATCACTGCTCTTCTTCAGCACCTCAGGGCTTGTTTCTTTTTGGTTTTGAACTACAGAACATCCAGTACACAGAACAGTACACATGACACAACTCTTCACTTTAGTAAGATCGCATTTAACACAAATGTTTATCTGTAGATAGGTCATAGCTTAGGAGTAAAATAATCAAGTATGTGCTCTTTGGGAAAACCTCAAACTGAAATTCAGAATGTTTTTTTTCAGAAATATTCTGGGGAAAAAAAACTTTCTTTACTACATTACATCCCCAGATTTAATTTTCTTTTCATGGGATAGACCAGTGTAACAGCAGAGGCCCTGAGCTGTTGACAGGACAACTATTGGTTGGAGGTTGTACAGTCACAGCAGAATGGTTTAAGTTGAGGTGTGGTATTATTTGTGAAAGGTCCTTTCGAAGTTACAATCTAAATGAGCTGACAGCCTGTAGCAAAACCTGAAGATTGACATTCACAGACACTCTCTACCAAATCTGAGCGAGCCTGAGCTCAGTCAGATTAATAATATGCATTTATACATCCAAGGCTGGTCGAGACACGTGTCAAATGCTTGAAGCTGCAATTGGAACAAGAAGTTGTTCTTCAAAGTATTGTCTCAGGAGGACTAACTACAAATGAATACGTCCCAGATTTACCTTTTTAAAGCGTGTGGAGAATCTCTTCACAGTTACGTGCTACTTTTTGGTGTTCTGTAACCCAATACTCCCAAAAACTGCTGTAATTTATTATTGTGGTGTTGCTGGTTCAATTTTTGTCAGTGAATTAACATTTTCATTGAAACATCTTTTCCTTTCCCAGATCATGAGTGGACATCAGTGGCTGTCATCCTGTATATCTGGCTGCCCATTTGACCTTTGACCCTAAGATACCTAAAAACAAGGTAATACAGCCACTTTTTTCACTTCTCTCTTGAACACACGTGTTTTGAACAGGGATCTTGTCATTGAGAGCCACTCTTCTGTAACTATTAGATGCATCCCTTCTCCACCACATCTGAAAAGCTCACTACCAGACCTCTGCAGAGCTGGGTTGCTGCTAATGAAGGGATGAAGTCATTTGCTTCAGGTGTGATGGTGCAGAGATGCGTCTCAAAGGTTTAATACATTTGTTTATGCTCATTCAGTGAAACAAAGCTCCATCAGATGGTGCTAATTCTGAAGCTGCAGTGCCCAGCCCTGAGAATAAGAAAGGAATGGAGACATTTACTCATAAACACTGGGTAAAGATTCATCAGGATCCAGCTGGTGTCTGCAAGTCACATTCGCAGACATATGTAGCAGTTAACAGAACTGAGAATATCCTCATATCAGAATTAAAAATTTAGAGTAGTCATATAAAGATGAATTTTCTGTTGAATTTAGAGAAACTACTTGTAATGTCAGTTGTGCTAGACTATTTTATTTTTCTTTTGTTCGTTGAAAACTGCTGCGAGATGGTGCATTTAAAAAAAAAAACCCTGAGGTTATAGAATTGTAGTGCAACTATTTGTGAGTTAGATAAGAAGCATTTAAGGTGTGGTGAAGGACAGGAGGGAGGAGCAGAACATGAAACATTTAACTCTCATCCGGTGTCTCTTGTATTGCACTCTGCACCTTCTTCCCCAAAGACTGACCTTTTTGCCTCTTCAGGGAAGATTTACGCTCTAATGGAGGGCTGCACCACCAGCGGACTGTGGCTGTTCATCTTGTTACTAGGATGTGGGCGACTCTCTGCATTCAATTTGGACACAGAAAAAGTCCTGCAGAGAAATGGAGACCCGGGGAGCCTGTTTGGCTTTTCTCTCGCACTGCACCAACAAGTTAGGCCAGAGGACAAGAGAATGTAAGAAACAAAGTATGAGTTCAGATGAAATTTATGTGTGGAAATTAATTGATTTTTTATTGTTTAAGTCTAAATCTAAGCCTTAGGTTTTTTTCATCAACTTGGGTATTTGCTTGGGTCACTTCCTTTCCAGGTTACTAATTTTTAGGCTTGCAGGTTTGCTCACGTCTTCTTTCTTTTTAGGTTGTCTTCAGGTGAGAAGAAAAGAAAATCTTTCTTTTTCATGCCAGATGAAGGCAGCTTGCAGTCATGTTAGCAGTGCGCTTGAAATTAAATTAAACTGGGATTGGAGCCCAGAAGTGGGCCAGGAAACGCCAATTAAGTTTATGGATCTCTGCCATTGTTGACTTGTAGGTAAAGAGTTTGATGAAGATTGCGTTTTTTCTCTTAAATTGATAATGTAACAAAGTTTTAAATTTGCACGTCTGACGCAGAGCAGTTGTGATAGGGCAAGTAACTTCTTGAGTGACGACTTCCTTTCCTTTGTTTTGCTCAAAGGTGTTACTGCTTACTGTTGTGTACTTATTTGCATTTGATTAACAAACACCTGAAAGTTATTAAAGAGTTCCCAGAGCCTTTCATTGGTAATGAGATAAACACTATAACGAAGTGTTGAGGTATTAACCTTTGTCACTTGGGAGAGCAGTAGAGGTCAGCGTGCTGCTTGATGCACGCTTAGCTTGAGGCAAAAGAAAAGGCAGGTAATTAATTTGTCCTCGGAGTTCTCGAAGGTATTTTTGCACCAACATGTATACTGACATGTTTGGATGACACAGCTGGGTGTGCACAGTGAGTCACAACACTGTTTTTCATTCTATTCATGCCAACCTTCAGTCATTCCTGCGCGTTGCAGAGACTTTTATGTCCCGAAGGGATGAATTTTCTTGTACCGACAGGAGTGGGTGGGGGACCCAAGAATGTCTGCCTGTGTTTTGGTCTCATAGAATCTCGTGTCTCCATGAGAATGTGGACGAGAGGTCCAACTTGAAAAAGGTGTTCATGGTGAGAATAAATGTAAGTTTTAGAGATTTAGGAGAGGGAGTGTGTGAGAATATGAATGTCAGTGCTGCTGCTGAAAAAATGGGAAGAGGAGCAACTAAAACCACAAAACAGTCAGTGCAAACAATTCACCGGGAGAAACTCTTAACTTGAGTTAAAATGCTATCCATTATTCTAGAGTTAGTTGCATATGCACTAACTTGTGCAAGTGAATATAATATCTGAGAGAGAAATTGTATGAACAGCATCTGTCCTCACCAGGATTTCTTTTGTTCACCAGGCATTTAAGAACATGCAATGATTAATACCAAGTCCCAGTGCTTCATTAGAGTTCATAAAGCCACTGCCAAGAATTTTTGTGATTCTAGTTTTGTGTGAACATTCATTGTTTTGTTTTTCTCTCTAAGTCACTGCTATGTTATTTTAGTTTTAGTTAGATTTGGTTTTTAGTAAGTATTTTATTCTGATAGTCTTGTCCAGTGCATTTGCAGTTCCACCATGTTAACCGTGATATGCCTGTTGTGTTTCATCATTTCCTGTCCAATTTTCTAGAGGTCTGCTACACTCCTTCTGTTTTCAGTGCATGTGATGCCTCTTTTTAATAAACATCCAGCTGCTGGTTCTTTCTGCTGCAGTAGAGAGAGACTTGATTGCTGGCAAAAGGTTTTTTGGTTTTGGTAGATGAATCAAGAAATGTTTAGTCTGATTCATTACCAGAGGCTGACATTTAAAAAGGTCACACCTCTCTAGACTCAAGACATGGCCATTGCATGGGTAAATTTTATTTGCTAAACTGGACTTTGTCCTTCTGTTGGTAACAGAAGAACCAAAAAACTTCCCTAGATGGTAGAAATTTCATCACAAAACATGTTAGTGCTATGTGAAAGAATTTTCTTGCTATGTTTCTGTTGCAGACTACTGGTTGGAGCGCCACAAGCCAAAGCGATGAATAAGCAGAAATCTAAAGTGACAGGAGGAGTCTACAAGTGTGAAATCAGCCCCAACCCCAGTGATTGCCAAAGAATTTTGTTTGATAACGATGGTAAGTTATATTCAACAACAACAACACGCAAAAAAAAATCAGAGTTTTATTGTGTTGTTTATTTTTTGACTTTTGTTTGTTCTGTCATAGAAAATTTATCAATCGAAAAAAAAGAAAATCAGTGGATGGGGGTGTCGGTCAACAGTCAAGGGCCAGGAGGCAAAATTATAGTGAGAACACCGTTCCAAATAGACATTTAGATTTTTTTCCCCAAACATTTATGTTCAAGGTATCAGTGAGGACCTCTTGGCCATTATGTCCCTCTCTGTCCTTGGTAGACATGTGCCCATCGGTACCAGGAGTTCAAATCTCAAACCCGTAACATCCTCGGCCGCTGCTATGTGCTAAGCCAAGACGCAACTCTTAAAGCATCAATGGAAGATGGAGTGGAAGATGGAGGTAACTGGCATTTTTGTAAAGGTCGGAACCCGGGCCATCAGCTGTTTGGCTCCTGCCAGCAGGGCGTCTCTGTTGCATTCGACATGGAGTACCGCTATTTCATCTTTGGAGCACCAGGAGCTTATGACTGGAAAGGTATTGTGTTTAGGTTAAACTTGAAACAGTTTTTGAACAATGCTTTTAGTTAGTTTTTAAAGACCAACTGAAAGCTCTTTTGTCTTTATTGTGCTTCTCATGCTTGTTTTTACTCTTTGTATAACTTTGCTTTTTGTTGTACAGAGTGTTATGATTTTATTTCTTTGAAAATTACTTATTTACTTACTTACATACTTACTTGAGGCACCAGGACAGTTGAACAGACGGTTGGGTTCATGTAGGCTCCGCTGTCAGGAAGAAGCTGAGAGCAAGAGGGAGGGATGAGAGCAGTGTGTACACAAGCTTGATTGACAGTTCTATGACCTCACCTTCTGCCCCTGATTGGTTGTTCCTGGTTAGTACTGGGAACACAGAGGAGGAAATTTTTTTCACAGATTATTCATCTCATACCATAGTGTCACGACATTGTGGCGGGTTTAACAAATATATATATATAAAAAAGTAAAGATGTTCTTGTAATAGTTACACTGCAGTCTAAAGAGTTTAGTAGACTTTTGTAAGACATCAACTGATCTTCTCTCTTCTCTCGTCTGGTATACTTGTTTTTTTTCCCTTTAATTAAGGCTTGGTGCACATGGAGCAAAGGAACGACACTCTTTATGACCTGGGTTTATATGATGAGGTGACGTTGGAAACGGGAGGTGAGAAGGAGAAAAATCCGGAAAAGGTTCCTACTCCTGACAACAGCTACTTGGGTAAAATACTTGTGTTTTATCATTATGCCTGTTATACATATTTTATTACCTTCCATGTCATAAACTATTTTGAATTCTGTGTTAGGTTTCTCCATGGCCGTTGGACAAGCTTTGACCAATAAAGGTCAGCTGACGGTGGTGGCTGGAGCTCCCAGAGCTTACTACAGTGGAGCGGTGGTTCTGCTAAAGAAAGGCTCTAAGGATCGCAGAGACATGCTTGAGGAGTTCACCCTCAAAGGGGAGGGCCTGGCTTCCTCCTTTGGATATGATCTGACTGTGCTGGATCTCAACGGGGATGGGTAAGAGTCCAGATGGATCCACAGACAGTTCACTTCTGCTCTCACATTAATTTCGACCGTCCTCTTCTGAGTCTGTGGTCTTCTTGTTCGCTAGCTGGGATGACATAGTTGTTGGAGCCCCTCAGTACTTTGAGAAGGACTCGGAAATTGGAGGAGCTGTCTACGTTTACATCAACAAGGCTGGAAAGTGGAACAAAGTCGAACCAAAAAGAATAGATGGACCTGCAGATTCCATGTTTGGCCTCGCCGTGGAAAAACTTGGCGATATCAACCAGGACGGTTACCATGGTAAGGAGGCATAATTTGTGTGCAGTTGTTGATGCCCTTTAAGTTGTAAAGATGCTCAAGCATACTGCCTTGCTGTCAGATTTTGCAGTGGGAGCTCCTTATGAAAACAATGGGGCAGGAAAGGTCCACATTTTCCATGGATCAGCCACAGAAGGATTCGGAAAAAAACCCACACAGGTGTGGAAACTCGTACAATCACTTTCTAAATCTTCCAATTTGAGACTCGCCCTCAGCATTTTGCTTCGGATAATTAGGAAGAGGCCAAAACATATTTGGTGTAGATCAAACTATTTTTATAGGACTTTTATGTAGGAATTTCCTAATTCTCATTTAAAATTATATTCACCTAAAATGATGTCCGAATGGGGATTTTTCCAGTGGAACTGTTCTTTTTATAGATATTTATACTCTAGTTGACACAAAGCTATTTTTCTGTCTTTTATCTACATTGCACATTTTCAAGATGTCTTTGAAAGTTTTTGTCATATTAAAATAAAGATTTTAAACTTTCGGAAGACAAAATAATGTATTTAGTATTTTGTTTTCATCGGACACTAAATACATGTCTCTTTTTATCCAGTGGGTAACCCACAGCTTAACCAAACTTGTGTTTTAGGTTTTGTCCAGGGAGTCGGGAGTGAGGCAGTTCGGCTATTCATTAGCAGGCAACATGGACCTGGACAAGAACTCGTACCCAGACCTGGCTGTCGGATCCCTCTCAGACTCTGTCTTTATCTATAAGTGAGAAAGTTAAAGCTGATGCACTGATGCATTGCTATGACCCAGCCCTGCTTTACAATATTGGACTGTTTCTCAACAGAACCCGACCAGTTGTTGGCATTGAGAAGAAAATCACTATTACACCCCCAAAAATTGACCTCACCAAGAAGAACTGTCCTGAAGGTGTCTGGTAAGTCTGCCTGTCTTGTCCTTCAACATTATCCTTCCAAAGACCTAGTAATTACTGGCAATTATAACTTAGCTATATAAATCTAATCTGTTACAAAATTATGTACTTTTTGCAAAATCTTCCAGAAATTCTGCTAGAAATATTACTTAGTCTTTCTTAAATTCAGTTCTGTCTCTTCCCCTTTTTCACATTTCTGTGTTGCCATAATTGTAGATTTGTTCAAATTGACTAAATACAATCCTGAAAAGCCAAATAATAGTCTCTGAAGTTGTGTTTAGTAAATATAGTTTAAAACTAATAAGACGGCCTTTCTTATAGCAAACGACTTTGACAGGGATTTTTTTTTAATAGTATTTCAGGCTACTTTGTGCCAATATCAAATTTTAGACGTAATATGTGCTTTTAACTTTTAAACATGCTAAAATCTTCTTAAACGTACATTTTCCAGAGGTCCTGTATGTCTGATTTTAGTTGAACTTTTTGTTCTCACAGCCTGAAAGTTGAAGCATGCTTCCGCTACACTGCTGGCGCACAGAGCTCTTCTCCCCCGCTGAGTGAGCAGAACTTCATTCTCCTTTCAAATCATTTTGCTAAAACAGTTATCTGTATTGCATTTTCACAATGTAGATATCAGCAGCATGAGATGAAAAAAGTGTTTGCCTCTTTGTGTGTTTGCACCGATTTAGTTTTTAGTCATGCCTGATTGTTTCATTCAATGGCAAGTCTTATTACTTCTCTGACCTGTAGACTCAAGAAATCACCAAAAGGTCGCAAACCGCAACACAGATTGGCATAATCCCTCAACCTAGAGAAATTCAAGAACAAAGAGTGTGTGGAATAGATCACCAAGGCTTTGGGACATCAGTGAACCATAGCAGAATCACAAACGAAATAAAAAGGCTGCACAGGGGCACAGTTGGTAGCACCGTTGCCTGACAGCAAGACGGTCCGGGGTTCGAACATGACTGTCAGGTTAATTAGTCTTTCTGCTCTCTGTGTGGGTGTGTGCATGCATGATTGTTTGTCCTGTCTGTCTGATCCTTGGAGGGATAAGCGTGTAACATAATGGATGGACGGAAAAAACAAAAACAAAAAAAACATGGAACAGTACTGAATCAAGTGGCAGACCCAAACAAATGAACTACGGGAGGGCATCCACAGCTTATTCAAGAAGTCACAAAAGAACCATGAACCATGATCTCATTAGTCAAGGCCCATGATTCAACTATAAGAGAGTGCCAAGAGCAAAATAACATCCAAAACAATGGACCAATAGAACCCAAAAGCCTGCATCATATAAAAAAGTTGCATATATATTTTTGATGCGTCTCATCAAAAATATCTTGTTGACTCCAAAGATTTTAGTGAAATTATTATCTGGTCTGACTAAACATGAGATTGACTTATTGGAAAGTATATTTTTTGAAACATTTTGTTACAAACTAACAGCATTTCAGAAAAACATTATACCCACTATTAAACGTGATAATAGCAATTATCCCTGCTCAGTTGTAAATTTCTTTAACTGTACAGTATTATTTTCCTGATGTTGTAAACTGTACAGTCTATCATTCTTATTTTGTGTGAATTTGCACATCCCCTCTTGCATTGCATTTAGCGATGAAGTACCATTTTGAAGTGGACGCTGAGCGCAAGAAAAACAATCTTGACCCCAGGGGGACGTTTACCGATCTGGAAAATCTGTCCACCGGGCTCATTACCATGGATCCAAAAGAGCTGCAAAAATGCGTCACTCGTACTCTTGTCATGAAGGTATACATCTACGCATGTCTTTCTCTGTTGCTTATCTAAAAATGTATTGTGTGACATGACAATCAGTGTGTGATGTTCCCCTCTTAACAGGACAATATTAAGGACAAGCTACGCGGGATCCCCATCGATGTTTCTGTGAACGTCCAGAATGCGAAACGTAAACGAAGACAGACCCAGGACGCTCAACTTGCACCCGTCCTGGATCCCAAAGACTCAGAACCATTTCGATCAAATGTACGTTTGCAAATTCTCGTTGTATACGTGAAATAATCACGCCTTGCTTTAATAGTGCTTCTGATTGTGCATTAACATGCATTAACAGGTGGCATTTTTGAAAGATGGATGTGGCGACGATGACCTGTGCACAAGCAACCTGATGCTAAAATATCGCTATGTCTACATAGATGGAGACAACGTTCATCCTTTAGAAATGTAAGAGGATCAGATATAACCAACCCTGAGTCTAGGAAGGTTGTCTTTTCTACTGAAGCAAACAAAGCTACACTGTTCAGCATATGGGCTGTTGATATTTGCTTGCAATTCAATGTGTTTAAAGGGAAAATGGAGTACCAGTGATCTCGCTAAGTGGCCGAAAAAGCGCTGCCCTGGAAGTGACAGTGACCAATCCAAAGGGAGAAGATGCATATGAAGCTTTTGTGGTTGCCAACTTCCCCAGATCTGTGACCTATGCTGCATACATGCTTAAAGCTGGAGTGAGTTTATCTTATCAAATGATCAGTCTCCCGCACATGTACTTTCTGGTTCTAAGTGGCGAGTTGTCATTGATTGCAGCAAGTCTCCTGCAACCCAAACCTAAATGGATCCAAGGTTGACTGTGACGTTGGGAACCCTTTCAAACGTGACTCAGAGGTGAGAAAAAAGTTACTTTGAGCTTCTATGCAGCACCTATTTAAGTTTAAATAATGTAGAAACCAATAAATCAGAATTTTATTGAAAAGTCAGGAAGGTTATTAGTAAGTAAAATGCATGAATTTTCGAAAGCCTTTATTACCGTTATTATGATTTTCCACTTACATCTAATGAAAACATATCTAAAATTGGAATATTTCACCAGACTAATAAAAAGAAAACATATGTTTTTTGCCTGGATGTTATTTTAAAAGGTTCTTTTAACCTGCCAAACAAGTCTCATCAGAATGCATACTGTGATTTATTTAATAAACGTGTTTGTTTATAGACAACCTTCTACATCCTGTTCGATATCACCAACACGACCGAAGTGGAAATTGATCTCAAGTTAAAAACGTAAGTGTCGGATTCTGCTTCTGTAAACTTTTGGGTCGCTTTCAGTTCACTTCTTTCAGCAATGATCTTGCGTACATTTTTATCAGGACAAGTGTGCAGCTGGATCTGATGAATGTGAAAGCAAAGGCCAAGGTGGCCATCACGCTGAAGCTGTCCTTATCAGGGTAAGACATTTTCACACGGAAGAAACACAGAGATTCAGCCAACTGATTGCAAACTGCTTTTTCCCCAGGCAAGTTGAACCATCTCAGGTCTACTACAATGGAGACTCCAAAGGAGTGACGGACGTTAAGACTGAAAGTGAGATTGGCAGTGGCATGAAATACTGGTTCACTGTGAGTATAGAACAGAGTTCACCCTGCCCGATGCCACAAGCGTAGACATGTTGCTTAAAAAACAAAACAAAATAATAATAATAAAAAAGCTGATAATTGTTTCATACAAACACATATATCCATCTGGCCATGTGTGAAAAACATTCAAATAAATTAAGCTTTACTTTCAGAATAAAATAAAAAGAAGAACCATTAATTTGATTAATTTAAAATCCTCTGAACCAAAAAATTAATGTTCCCATTAAAACAGATAATCAACCGAGGAAAGCGACTGAAAGACATTGGAAAGGTCACCCTTCACATAGAGTGGCCAAAGATGACAGAGAAAAACAATCATCTGCTCTACCTGATGGCGATCAGCTCCACAGGACTGAAGAAGATGGAGTGCTCTCCTGAGAAGGAGATCAACTATCTTGGGAAGGTGAGGAAGAAGTTGAATCAAGCGGAAGACGACTGTACGGACTAGTTAGAAAGATCAGAAATGGTTGTGAACCACATCCAGAGGCGTGGCATCTGATCTGGAAATGGTCTGGAATCTGACCAGACCATTTTCAGAGCGTCTATCTGGGATGTATTTGGAGGGGCTGTGGTTCAAGGTTTCCTGGTGGTCACCATCAGCCATCATGTCAAAATTACCCCAAAACCTCAGACATTATTTTTTATGGCTGTTGACCAGTGTTACTCCCACTGACTGAATACATGTTGAGGTAAGAACAAAGAATAATGATAATCTATGTTTTTGTTTCTTCTTTCAGAAACCGATTAACAGAAAAAGAAGAAGCATTTTCAAAGGATTCAATGGGACACTTTCACGCTTCACTGGCGAAAAGAAGCACAAGACTTTGGTATTACAACACAAGCACTTTCTTCTTGTCAGACTAGAAATACTATATTTAACATTCACTCCCCACCAGGAAGAGTAAAGACACAATGATCTGTTTGTTTACAGTCGTGTGACAGCGGAGCAAAATGTGTGACGATGAAGTGCCTCCTGGGTGACCTGGACTACAAGGCGACCATCGTTCTGAGCTCTCGCCTGTGGAATAACACTTTTGTAGAGGTATGAAAGACAGACTGATATGTTTGTTTCACTGGAGTTTTAAGATGAGCTGCAGGTTGTCTGGACTTTAAGAATGAAGTTTGCTTATTTTGTGTGGATCTTGTGTAATTAAAACTTTTTGTTTATCTCATTTGACTTGCAGTTGTAGATTCTTATTGTTAAACCTATGCTGACATAAGCTTTATGTACTGATTTTAATTATGTTCTTCGACTGTTTTTAGAACGATTAAAGCTACGATTGAAAAAGTATCAGTCCTGAATCTGTGAAAGAGAACGAAAATGCCCCTATTCTGTCATGAAGTCCGCGTTTCTGTTTTATGCCATTGCAACCAGCACACATATACCTGACCTTCTCCTTTCTTCTTAAATAAAGGAATATTCAAGCTACAATTATGTGGATGTGATGGTGAAGGCGTCGCTTCATGTTGACAGCTCCACAAAAATAGCAATGGACGAGGGTGCAGAGACCCAGGTAAGGACACACACACAAATATAAAATCATTTGTGTGACACTGATGAACCCAAAACAGAAACACGAGTCATGAGAATGGACATAGAAATGTTTTTAAACAATCCCGACACTGTAGGACATTAAAATGACCCAAATATTATAATATTTTGATTCTTCCTTTGTCGCTGTATTATAACTAAAGTTGAATTGAATTGTATATATAGCACCTTTCAAAAGTACCCTTTTTCTTCATTTTAAGAAGATTCAAATTTTGGCAGAAAAAATAAATTGTATCCCCACTACTGTATGACATCGTATGATTGCCTAATAAAACGTGTGGCACATTCACAAACCTACCAGGAGGTGGCAGGGCACCACACCTGACAGTCCAGGTAAGGGCTGGGAGGCAGTCAGTCAGAGAGGCAGACAAAAAGCCCACAGTAATCCTGATGTGGAGGAGCTGCAGATATTTGGAGCTCAGAATCTGCTGAGAGACTTGTGATCTCTACAAATGAGCATTTAATAACAAGCTATTCAGGACCAATAGAGAAAAGTGATGGAGGTAAAAACAGAGAAGTTGTGGAAAATATCTATATATATATCTCACATTATCAGATAACCTCATACTAATATTCTTGCTTTTTCTGTCTTGATTTTTCCAGGTGAGGTTTTCCGTGTTTCCAGAGAGACGTTCGGCTCGGTACGGAGGAGTGGCCTGGTGGATCATTTTTCTGACCATCCTGTTCCTCCTGCTGCTGCTGGCCCTGCTGGCTTTCCTTCTTTGGAAGGTATGAACAAAAGACTTTATCACCATCAGCAGATGGCAGACATAAAAGCGCTTTGCGGTAATGTTTTTTTTATTGACTTGCCTCAATTTAGTGTGGAGTCTTCCAGAGAAATAAGGAGGATTCATCAGACAAAGAGAAGCTGACATCAAACGCGTGAAAAGTCAGTGGTGAGATTTCATGGTTTTGTCTTACTGCTATAAATTTTGGTTGTATACCGAATACATATTGAGATACATTTGGTAACATTTGCTAATGTTTTTGACAAGAAATTACCCCGACCCCCCAAAATAAAGGTTTTATTTGTAACATTAATTTAAGGGAGGGAAGAACAGACAAAGAGATTGGCTTATTGGTTTGAATATCGATACAGATGATCTTTAACACCAAGTGACTTGGTCTGTATGAACGTCTTGAGTTCATTAGAACTTAAAATGTTTTCTTCTCTCCACAGGGAACAAAAATAGCAATGGACGATAGCAGCTATTTTTCAAATGTTACCAAACACTGGATCAGGTGGAAGAAAAAACTTTGAGAAAGCAAAAAAAAGTGTGGATAACAACGCACGACACGAATTCTTTAATGTATATAGTCTTTTTTTTTTGTACATCGAGATGAAAATTTGGAAATATAATTTTGAAAAATTAAGGTGTTGAGGATCAGATATGAAACGTGGTTGTTGAGGGGTTTGAGAGGGCTTTTTAAATTAAATTTAGGAGAAACACTGTACTGCATCAGAGCCAAAAGCAATGGGTTTTCATGTGGTGCAGATAGCACTTAGTTTGGCAGCTGTAAAGAAAAGTTTTTATATTTTTAAAGGAATTTCTTCTGCTCTCGCAAGGACTATTTTCAAGCCAATAAGCATAAAGTGTAAATACTCATGACGAAAGCAAAATGCAACCGTTCCCCAGCATAGAGTTTGTACTACGAGATCAAGCATTTGTATTCTCCACATCAGTGCAGATGACATTTTGCCAGTTTTTAATTTCTAGACAGATTTGCGTATGTGTTGCCATACAGTAAACCTTCATCTAATACACAGCTGCCAGATATGTTGAGTTCAAATGAATGTTTTTTTTATACTTTTGAATAAAATGTTAATTTTCTCATGTCTCGCCATTCATATTTTGTTCAATGAGAATACCAAGAAACGCAATGCAGTTTGAACCATTTATTAAAACACACAAAAAAAGCATTTACAGCAAATTCCTGAGTGCAAAAATCAGCACACATTTAAAAATAATGTGAAGAATAAATAACACTTGATTAAAAACCCACCGCTGCAAGATGAGCAATTACACACTTCCCAGTTAAGTACATTTAATTTGTCTGAATCAAGATGCTGGACTCAATCTGTGGTAGAGATTCAAATAAGCCCCCCCATGAAGCATTTAAAAACAAGACATGTGAAGTAGATCTATCCATTTCTACTAGCACAAAAGAAAATGCTGGTGCTGCAGGTGATTTCACCTCTCAAACTGGTTTTACAACAGGGACTCTGTTCTTACGGTTTTGCCGCACCCGCCGACATCATTTACAGACGTGTCACTCAGCATCCTTGCTCTCTCCCCGCCTCCGCCCTCCTTCAGCTTCTTTCCCTCTTTTCTTTGATCCTTCTCCTCTCTTCTCATTTCTTTCAGTTTCTTCTTGAGGAAAGAGCGGTCATTTTGACTCGACACACCGAGAGCCTGTTGGAGGGCGTGTACCACAGATCAACATAAAGTGTTGCGAGGTGTGAGGCAGTCAGACTCATTGCTGTGACTATCTAAAAACTCTTGTGCTTAACGTTGTGCAATCGATGCATTGGCTCTGATGGAAGACCTTGCAAATGGGACTCAGGGAAGAAACCTGTTTTCAGGCATCACCAACAATTCCTGCCTATTAACCCTTTATGACCCAAGTTTCAAATATCCGCCTGGATATTTTTGCTTATTTTAACTATATACAGTTCTTTAAATGTCTTATGAGTAAGTATATTTGCTCAATATCTTCCAATATCTAGCAAATTCATTTTGCAATTTACCATCTATTAAAAGAGTGCCCCTGTTAAGGCGGGGCTTAAATGACCATAATCAAACATTATTGGCAGGAAATGCAACGTCTCCCCTTTCAGAAACCGTTGGATTTTGTCAGATAGCACAAAGTGTGGCAGAATTACGGTACTGCAAATTTGGCTGGATCGTGGACGGTCCTTTTGGTTTGGAAAGGTTAATGGGCAAGTCCTATGTGGCTCCAACAATCTCACTTCTCAGTCCAAACCAACAGTTTCACAAATTTTACAAAAAGAAAAAGAAAAAAAAAAATCTGGAGGACATTACCCCCAATTTGGAACAAGAGATACTCCTACAGACAAATCAATATCCAACCTTTCAAATTTTTATTTGTTAAAAGCTTTGAAAAGAGTAATCTTTTTATCTCTTCTCCAAGGAACAATTTTATTAGATGACAAAATACTTTATGGTTGTAATGTGATGAATCTGAAGAGGTCCAAGCCACAGAGTGTAACGTGTAGACAAAGATAATTCAACAGTACAGCAATTTCAGAGAAGCAATTACTGACGCTAAAAGTCGTAGGCTTCAGTGTTTTTCTCACCTTGAGTTTCTGACTGTCCATATGGAGCAGCTGCGTGCCGTCCACCTGTCTGGCAGTGAACTCTTTGGTGTACCGATTCATGCTCATGCTGATCAGCCACAGACACACCTGTTGGTTGCTCCACTCAGAGACGGGCTGGCACTGCCAGCGATTGTTATTGTTGTTGGGATTTGGATAGTCGTCCAACGTCTGATGGGAGATCAGAGAAGTGAGAAAAAAAAGGAAACTGTAACTAAAGAAGCAGAGAACGTTTGAGGGGAAAAAAAACTGTCTAGACTAATTGCTCCACAGGGAGAGAGGGAAGGAAAAAAAGGGGACAGAAAGAGGACAGTCTTACCTCAGAGGAGGAAAAGGTGCAAGTGTGAGAATGTCCAGAGAGGGAGTGATCAGAAACGTGGCCCATCATGCTGAAGCTGTCCACCGGAGAGCCAATGCTCTAGAACCAGAAGAAAGACTCCTAAACTACCTACATACTTAACATCTGCTGCATGCTTTCCAAGCATGGATGCTTATTTTAGAGAGAAATGCCATCTCCAACAAGATGTGTAGAAACACAATTAGGCTGAAGAGCTGGGAGCGTCCGGAACCAGGGAACCATTACAAAACACAGAAGAAGGTCCTTACCTGATCTCTTCTGTCTGCGGTGGTAAGATGAGGCAAACTGCTGCTGGACACCGATCGCAACCTTTGCCTGTTTTGCTCTACCTCCTCCTTCTCTTTCCCTCTGTCTCCAAACCAGGGTAGGTGCAAGCAGGAGGGCACAGAGTTGAACAAGCCAGACGGGGAAACCTCTGGCGGCTCGTCGATTAGATCACCACACGATCCACTGGAGACAGTAAAGTTGTTGTTACAAGAAACTGAACTTACAATGAAACAGGGTTTGCTTATATCCTTCTGGCACAGTTTACCTCAGATAAAAAACAAAACAAAACAAACAAGCCAAAAAACAACAGTAATAAAGTTAATTACAAACATAAAAGGAAAAACACTGAAGATTATCCACTAATTTCAGCTTAATAGTAAATATCAGTAGGAACATGAGTAGGAGACTAATATGCATGAAGTATTTATTCCCCTTTTTAAAAAACGTATATAAAGCCTGGCGAGATCATAAAGGTTGCAAAGCCTGGTTTGTACCTCAGAAATGACTCAACCCAATTTCCATTTGAAAATAATATGTCTAAGATTTAGTCATTTTGGTATCGGAAGAAAATTTTCACACCTGCTTTTGGCTGACCTGCTGCATTTTTCACTTCTCTTTTTGCCAAGCGACTTCCGGAGGCCACTGAAGAAAAAAAAATAGAGTTCAAGTACAGTAAAGGCTCTAAATCCTATAATTACATTTAGTAATACAGTTTAGAGCATCTTAAATCTTCCACCTCAAGTTTGGAAAGATCCTTCTGGACTTTCTGGATGCTGAGGATTTGCGTGGCGAGGATGTGGTAGAGTCGTGGATGTAGTTGGGTGGGGTTGAGAGGGGAGTGCTGCTCGGCTGAGGACTAAGTGCTGAGGAAGTGGAGGTACTGGACCGGTCACTTCTGTTGCTTTGGACTACTGTGGAAGTGGACATTGAGAGACTCTCCTGTGGTTTAATGATGACTTCCTCCTGCTACAACAGAAAACAGGCGGACCAATTAGAATAAGCAAGTTTTTAAACAGACATGTATTTTTTTTTGGTTCTCTCACCTGTTTTTTGAAGCTCTCTTTGAGTTTGTCCCGCGACGGTGGGTTGCGTTTTGATTTCTGGGCCAGCTGAGCTCGTGCTATGTGAGCGCTGGAGTCAAGACGTCCAGTATTAGGAACTGGAAGATACCAATCTGAGAAAAACAGATTTCTTTTATTGTTTTTTTGGCACACAAAATTTGACTTTGATCTTTTTAAAATGCATAACAATACTTGATACAGGTAGAAATTTTATCAAACCACTACAAAATAAACAAGATTACCCCTCTACGTGCATCAAGCATTAACATTTATCTTATTTTAATAACAAAAAAAACAAACAAACATAAATGTGAGTGCCATTGTTTGACGCATTTAAAGAACGTTTATCTAGTGCCTCTTGACATACAGACCTGTGACTGAAGGGTCAATGGTGTGGTTCCTTTTTTCTAGTTCAGGCTCTTTTCCTCCAAGCTGCACTATCTGATCAATAACGAGAAACAATGAAAGAATCAGGAGCCATGAAGGAAATGAATCCACATAAACCTCCCCCTTACCTGGGTCTGTAGCATTTCTACAGTTTCTCTGTGCTGCTTTTCTCTCTCCTCCATGTTATTAGTGATATCTGCAAGTTTTTTGTCCATCTCATCCTCTCTGGGGGAAGAAATTAGACACTTTAGCTGCAACTTTCTAACTTGCTATGTGGACACAAAGTTATACCAAGTACATACAGTACTTGTACATACAGTACTTGTACATACAGTAAAATAATAAAAAACAAACAAAAAAAACATACCTGCTCTGGTAATCTCTGAGCAGTCTCTTGGCTTTGCTGTATTTGATCTCCAGGCTTTCTGTTTGGCCCTGGGTATCGGCCAGTCGCTGACTCACGACTTTGCACAGCGTTTGGGCCTCTTGCCAGTAGCTAAAAATTAGAGCAGGTCTTATTACCATGTTCTCAACCAACAACATCATTCTGCTGACTGCAAGCCATAACACTATATAAGGGGTACATCTTTATCTTCCCTTTGCAAGTCTCTTCAACTGATCCCGATATGTTCAATTTTATGTCTTTCCTCATTCTTTTCTCCAATATCTCTTCAAATATGAGATATTTGTTATAAAATTGGAGTTAAAGGCATGGATTCCTAGAACCACCAAGGGGATCATTTCAACCCAATGAATATCAATATAAAATGTTGCATGCTTGGCGATGCTGGACCAAATGGTTTGTTGCTCTGGCAATACCATAAGCTAGAATACTTGAGGATAATGACAATTCTTTATGAGGAATTAGTTGTCAGTAAAGACTTGACTTGACTAGAGAACAGGTCTGCAACTCCAGCCCCGACGTGCCCATGTACTGCAGCTGTTTAGTGGACCCCTGCTCCAAAACCCGATTTAAAAGATTGATTCAGGTGTGTGTGAAACGTTGCAGTTCAGGGGCTCAAGGACTGGAGGTGCAGACTATGAATCAAGAGGAAAACATGAGTACAAATGATATGGATTACGATGAATATGGGAGGAATCTAAACAGAATGAGGTCAGTGATCAACATGAACCTGGCCAAGGATTGAGACACTGAAACTACCGACACTCCTGAAGGTGAAATAGTGGTAACCATAGCAATAATTATGTCCCATTACACTCTTACGTTAGAAATAAGTTCTCATTATGTGACTATATGGTACAATTATTTAAAGAGCCGTTTTTGCAAGTGCACACCATATCAAAATAGCTTAGTTTAAAAGGAAAAGAGCAAAAAGTCTTGATTTAAAAGAAGTTGGCTTAATTTCTGTGTTCATAGAAGTGCTTCTTAGCAAATATGTAACTATGATGCATTTAAAGAATGAAACAAAAAGTGCAGAGAGATTAAGATTTAAGTTGTAATGATCTTTTTTTTTTTTGTCACAAAAATGACAGAGGCTTTGCATGTGGCACAATCAGATAATACTTTGTTCCAGGTGCTCCAAAGCAACATTTAAAAACAATATTTTCACTGTCTATAAAAAAATAAATAAATAAATAAAAAATTATTTTGCTCAACTAGACTATAAAAAAATAAACTGCCTCTTTCAGGCTTTTATGGACACACGTACAAAATAAGACCCTCTGATGGTTCTAAGCTAGATTGGCCCTGTTGGCAGTTCCAGTGTTAAGCCTGCAGTCCACTCTCAGCCAAATCCATTTATGACAAACCATCAGCGTACTTCTCTAGTTTCTCTGCTTTCTCCTCTCCATCCTGTGCTCTTTGTTCCAACTCGGCTCTCAGGCTCTGCCAGCGGGCTCGCTGCTCCTCCCATGCCTTTAACTGGCATAAAAGCAGAAAAAAAAAATAAAGAGACTTTAGAAAAGAAGCTTACAGTATATTATTACAACAGAGACAATTCCTTCAGGAGAACATATGAACTCCAAAGTGTTTCAGCACAAATAAAAAAAGTATTCATATAAAACAAGAAGGGTAAAAGCAAACATTTTTTCATTCTTTTTTTGAAGGGCTTTGAAAACCCCGTCATATCCACAGTGGTGATTACATCAAGGCACAGGCTGGAGAGTGAGACTGACGTGGCTCAGAGTTAGAACAAGGCCCGTGTCCTAATAACTGGGCATGAGCCATCTCATACCCAGTTAAATGGGTCAGGCTGTTTCCAAATCTGGACACAAAGGTAGCGTCTTACAACGAGTTATTGGTTTGTGTGCGAGATTGAAATCTCACCTACCTTCTCTTTAGCTCGGTGCAGCTGAGCTGTTCTGCTTCTCAGTTTGGACTGAAGCTGTTAAAAAGATGCACATGAATCAGTTTGGACATAGTCGCACAAGCTGCTGCTGCTGTGATTTCAGTTTGTTATATTTTCACAATGTGGTGCGAGTAGCACAAGTAGGACTGTTGGAATGCTTTAAGTAGTCCTTAGAACTACTTCTGGTTATTTTCAAGGTAAACATAAAGTAATAAGAATGAAGAGTCAAAAGACCAATTCATTAGGCAGATCGGTTCTTTGTTTTACCAGAAACATATCAGAAATGTTGTGGAGTTGAAAAAGGGAAAAAGGGACAACAGTGAGCTAGTTCTATTGGCTCTGACATTAGAAATCTGACCTGAGAATGATATAAACACAATTAAATACAATCTAGATTCATATCTGAAAATCAATGTGAAACGCGATTTGCTAATTTGTACAACATGTTTACAGATTTAGATAAGAAACACTAACCGTACAAGTTCTCATGTAAAGCTGTTTTAAAATTTCTTTGACTAAAGTGGTTTGTGAAAAACTTAATATTTCACAAGGTAGTCCATTTGGAAAATGGTGGGAGTAACTTTGATTTACTTTGTCTAACCAGGATTAGATAAAGTAAATCTTATCTGATCACAGAGTTGTACCTGCTGGTATTTGAGACAGAGCTGGTAGTTGTCCAGACTGGACAAAACAGACACATCTTCCTCTTCCTCTTCATTCTCCTCTCCTTCTTCCTCCTCAAAGATTGAGTCTCTCTCTGACACATTGCCATCATTGTCCTCATCTACACTGGTTCTGCGTTCTCTCTTTAAATGCAGGAAGAACAAAAAAAAAAACAGTATAATTACTTTTGTCCCCTAATGAAAATAAATAAATAAATCACCCTAAAAGAAACCTTTTTTGTTTTGTCCATTTCCAGACTCTCGTTGATCAGTCGCGCCACTTCACTCTCCACCCCTTCCTTCTCTCGGCCAATCAAAAACCTGCACAGAAAAAAGCAAATCTGTCACACCTGCAAACGATTACTCCAAACTCCAAGACACCTTTTCACACTGCATCATGGGATATGTGCTCAAATGTGGAGCACAGGTGTTAATGACAGCAATGATTGGATGCTAAACCATTAGAATGACCCAACATACATAACAGTCTCCAGATACTTGGCCTGTCATGGATTAGAGACCATGTGTTACAATGAGTTCCTTTAACCTCCATAAAGTCGATTTATGTGTTGAGAATATGGTACAAAAGCTGTGAAAATAGGATAATGCCACAACAATTTTCCTCTCTATGCCTTTTAAGTGTCCAATTGTTACGGTTGCTATTTTCACCATTACATACAGGCTGTCATTTAATTTCGATAAGCTGGATTTGACCCAGCAGCTGCTTATTTCAGTTTACATGTGATCTATAGGAGATTTTTTTTTTTTCCAATCTTTGGCATGGCCACGAGGCTTTGGAGCTGCATAGCAGCTAACAGGAAGGACGTAAAGCAACAGGAACAAATTGGGACTTGACTTGCACTACAGGACATGGCGTCTCTGGGATGCTACTATGAGAGATGTCAGTAACATATCCTCAAAAGCTTGTTTATTCACGTTGAACTATTATCCAAATGGTGTTAGAGCTGTTCTATGTTTTCCCACTTCCACATAATTTGAGTATGGTGGTTATTAAAATGGCTTTTGGAGCCCCTTCCAGGCAGATGTCAGCGACTTTCTTTAGAGCTTTAAACCTAAGTCATGTTTCTAGACATTTGGTTTGTCCTTATTTGTTGATTCAACTGTAACCGTTTACATATATATCAAAAAAATGTGTTGATAAAAATTGCATACTGCAGCCTTAATAAGCCCTAGTTTGCAAACTGACTTTGTGTTTATTCAATTTCTATGACATTTCAATGTGAAACATGTCGCAAACAAGGAAAACTGAACATCTGCAAGAGAAAAATCCATTCAGTTTCTATTTAAAAAGTAATAAGATACTTTTGATTGGATGGTTTTGTTAAAATTTCCAGACTACCGAGACGTACAGGATCTAATTTATAAACTCACTGTAGGTATTAATGGTCCTATTTTTACATCCTTTGTTCCTGTCAGTGCATTTCCACATCTACTAATGAAAGAGAAAAAAAATCATCAGGAAAGGAAGGGGGATGGAAAGTTATATTTATCTCATTTCATCTAAAAATAATCTCTTACAATAGACCTTAAGAAGTCTTGAAAGTGTAAAGTGTTTAATGTTTCAGACTTTTTCTTTGTTTTACACTGGGTCATCAACATTGAGGTCAAACTTGCATTGTGCTAACAAGCTTCCAAATATGTGCACCTTTTAAATAAAAAGCAAGAAAATCTGAAGAAAATCAAGTTTGCTTCATTTTTCAAATTACTTACTTGACCAGGCCCGATGTGTTTTTAAGGACCGTAGCGGCAAACAGCTGGGAAACTCCAACCAGACTTACACCGTCCACTTCCACGATCTGATCATTCACCTGAATCCTAACATGCACAGGGGTAAAAAAATACAGATTGTTTTTGGTTTTCATAATCTGCCAAATTAATTATGTGCAATTTTACCTTCCATCTTTGTGGGTTGCGCCTCCTTCTGTGATTGTTTTAACAAAGATTCCCAGTTTTTCCAGGCCCTGGTCAGCCCCTACACCCATTCCGATGATACTAATGCCCAGTCCGTCCACTCCTGGAGGTGGCGGGAGCAAGAAAAACATCATGAACTGGCGTTGTCAACTTTTCTGGCCTACGTGCTTTTACCATGGACATCAGGCAAAAAGTAGGCAAAAACCTTTTTCTATGTCCACTGGAAAAACATCCATCCTTTCCACTCTCTTTTCCAGCTCGAACTCAGCCGAAGCGGACACCGGATCGATGTCCTCATTGTGTCTGTCGTAATCTGCGTTGGAATATGTGCTGTAAACCTGAAAATCACAATGAATGTCCAATTCAAAAACCCTATGGAGACCTCAGCTGAGATTAACACAGATGGAAGGGAAAAAAAAGTAATTGGCTTTCTGAAATAGCTGCTTTATACACTCATACTTAATAAATGAGCCAAATGTAAAAAGAACCATCTGCAGTTATTGACACCAGAAGACACTGTTTATGCCTGGAAAATCTGTCAATGACAGTATGTGAGGCGAGAGACTTGGGAAGTGTCACAGAGACCATATGGTACACGCATAATTATAGGCTTGCTAAAGATTTCAGATGTCCCGACACAATACGTTACTACAGCGACTTCTGCCACAATCATTCTTAATCAAGATTCGATGTGTAAAGAGCCTTAAAATAAATGAATCTGTTACTGTAGCAGCATAACCTACACTGAGATGCTGCCTTTAATTTGAATGCATTTATCCAATGAACGAGAAAGTGCAATTGTTATCATTTTTGGTACCCTTTGCAATTGCTTTGAAATATATGTTACTGAAGCAATTCATTCTAATGTATGCTTTACTTTCATGAACCTTTCATCAGTGAGTAATAACTTTCTGACTCCCCATGGTAAAAATATGACATGACACTGAAGCACAGCACCTGCCACTAGACTGCATAAGCACAGATGTTCACTTATCCGCCACCACAGAGCAGGACGGTACATTACATAATGTGTCTAGCACCCTCCATCAGCTTCAAGTTACTGGTGCAGACAGGAGGTTGGACCCAAATTTAAAAAATGATGTCCAATCAATAGCTGAATCCAAGCAGTCTTTTGTGATTGCAGCAGTGCACACAATAATACTGCGATGATGAGCGGGGACGGGTTCACTGTGCAGCTCTATCTGGAGACGTGACAAGGCGAGAAGTGAGCAGGATGGCAAGGGACGTAAAATGAAATATCCAAGGTTTACTTTTAGAGTCCTGCAGCAAAGGGTATACTGAGGTATACACATCTCTATAGCAACCATAAGATGCTATCACCATGCCAACCAGCTGCTTAGAAGTGAATCCTGGGCAAAAATAATTTCTATTCTATTAGATTTGCAAACATGTTGATGTGGTAACTTCACTGAGACTTTAATTGTATAGTTTGCCCTGATGAGAATAAAACTATGCAGGAAATACACTAGCAGGTTTGGCATAAACACACACAATGGATATGTAGTAAAACATATTTTCCCACTGCTAAGTAGGATGGAAGATCCTTCAAAGGGACTGGGAACCTTGTCAGAGGGCACGGGAAATCTGAAATATTAGATTGGCTGAATTTTGACAGACAACTCAAAATGCTCAAGAGGACAATGATGCAAAACATATCGCCTCATCAACGCAGAAATGGCTCACCAGTTTTGGACTCAGATGTCCTTCTTCCATGGCCATCTCAATCCCAAAGCCTAAATCTTACAAAAAAAAAAAAACCTGAGGACGATCTAAAGGCTACAAAAATGTTTAGTTTCTCTGTAGCCACCAGCTTTGTGGAATATTATGACAGTTATGTATTCTTTGAGGACTAAATTTCAGGCCTTTTACATGTCTTTATCAAGACATTTTCTGATTTCTGTGGATTTCTGTCTATGTACTGATTTCTGTCAGTTCACAGGAGTTTTAGTGCATTTATGTAAAAGTAGCTCTGAGCATGATGCTGACAGACTAAGGCATGTAGGCTCCTGCCTGTTCTCCTCCCCTAATAGCTAAAAAAGCATAGCTTTGGGCTACGACCTCTAACAGCTGCAGGAGCTGACAGTTACAAACATGTAAATGAAACAATCTCCATGTCAGACAAAAAAAAAACTAATTAAACTTAAGTAGTTGAAATTGGCGTACCATTTTCCACAATAACATTACCTTGATCGGTGCTGTGGAGAACCTGACCTTCCTCTTAGCAGCCTCTGGTGAATCCTCATTCTGACAGTCCAGTTCAGGCACACCGGGAATCTCCTCATATTCTGCGACAAGCTGGTTTCCCTCCTTCATCCAGCTCTCCTGTTCTTCTGGTAATGATGCTGAGAGCTCTGGACGGGACTGGGCGTCCTTATCATTCCAAAATGCTCCGTTCTCAATCCCACAGACTCCTGTAGCTTCCGTTTGGTCATCTTTGCCTCCTTCTCCATCACCAGTATCTCTACATGAAACATGCATCATCTTCTCAGTGACAACATTCTCTTGTATCTCTGATGTTGTGCCTTCTTCTTTAAAGTCTTCTTCTCCACCTTCCACGCCCCCCACCACTTCCGTATCAGAAAACATCTCTTGGATCAACTCCTCTAATCCAGCAGCACTTTCTCTAAATCCACCAACGGTTTTCTCCTCGTCTTCACTTTCTTCTGTTTGACTCTTCTTAGTTTGTGCAGTGAAGTGTCTGTGCTGCTCCTCCTCCCTGCCGCCCTCCCATTGTTTGTTCACCTGCTGATACATGTCTGCTCTGCATTCCCTTCCGTTCCCAGTTGTTTTCCACTGCATGTCTTCTGATAACTCTGTGTGACATTCTGAGGAAGTGATGAGATCATCTCTTCCTTCTGTGAATGTATGGAGACTCTCAGGTGTTTCCACAAAGACATCCTCCTCAAAGACGTCATCTACCGAGGCTTTCAGATCTTCCTCATCAGCTTTGTTCAGATGCATTTCGATCTCACCTTTTGGCCAGCATTTGTCCTTCTGCACTCCCTCTTCTTCATTCTCGTCACTTTCTGAAGAATCATTCTTTACGTTGACGAGTTCTGCCCTGAGGGTCTCCTCGGGTGCCGAGCCGACTCCCGTCTCTTCCTTTGACTGCGATGTTGCAACCTCACCAGGCCCATTCAGCACTGAAGATTCAGAATGCCTCATCAGTGACTCAGCTTGAGGGGCCTTCATGTTTATACTGTGGTTTATAGATATGTCTTTACCTGACACATTCTCTTCTTTGATTTTCTCACTTGCCTCTTGCAGCTTTTCTACTTCTCCTTTTCCATCGGCAGCCCCCTTGCTTCCCCTGATGATCTGAGGTTTTAAAACCTGTCCTCCTCCTGCGCCGCTAACCTCCAACATCTTATTCTCAAACAGCCTCCGGGTCACCGAAAACTTCTGAGCCAGAGCAACTCTGTCAATATCCACCTTTTTCTCTGATCTGGACGGTTTATCTTGCAGCAGTTTTTCTGTGGGCGAAATACTTGCTAGACTGCTCAAAAAGGAGGGGGAGAAACTCATGACTGAATGCCTGGATTCGGGGAAAGGAGAAGCGTTGAGTTGAAAGCTGGGATGCGACGCAGAAAGGAGAGGGATGGAGCCAGAACCCGAGACCAGAGCACCGTCTTGTCTCGACTGCTGGCTGTCCATTTGAAGAAAAATGTTTTCTCTTATCTTGGTGCCCCTGGTCCCTTGGATCCGACCTCGGCTCCCTGTGATGTTGCTGGTGGACAGGTAGTCAGAGGGCACCGCAGAACCCTGGATGGCAACAGCAGCAGAAGCAGCTTTGGGCCCTCCTTGCAGACTAATTCCAGTGTCAAATGTGCATTTGATAGCATGAAAGTCAGATTTGTATGTAATCCGGTGAGGGGAGGCACTTCGGCCTCTGCTGTCTGTCCGCATCATCTGCAATTAGTCTATGTGAGGTTAAAGAAAATTAGTTTTAAAAATGCGGTAAATGGGACAGCTCACTGCAAAGAGGGGCACCACACACACACACACAAAATAGTTTCTGCAGTGGTTGCAATAAAGAAAAAATAAATAAATAAAAATCCTGTATGAGTCAATTATTTTCAATGTTTGTGGGGCATTTCTTCAATTCACATATTAACACCTGAAAGAGAGAAAGAAATAAAGAGCAATCAAATAAGAGCCTGTTGTCTCGCCTGACAGAAATAATTTGTTGACAAAGTTCCCAAATTCGCACCGGATGTTCAACCTGAATCTAAACGTTTCGATCATCGAATGCAAGCGAGGAAAAAACTCACGGTTCTCCTGCAAACACCGGAAGCAACTTAATCGCTGCTAAAATTAAACTTTAAAGCTTTCAGGATTACTTAAACTCGCGGCGCAGGTGGAAGGTTTCCAATAGTCAGAACTGTGAGGAAAACCAAAGCGCGCCTCGCCGCAGCGCTGCTGGACACAGGCGTCGGTAATTACTCCATTCAGCGGCTCCAGTCTTAATTGTTATGCGCACTCTGAGGCGCTGTCGGTAAAAAATGCCCGACTGAGGAAATTTAAAGAAGACAACTTCACGAGTCAATAACGAAAAAAATAAATACATAAATGGAATTAACATTCCAACAAATGCCACTGACTTAATTAGAAGTTTGCAATTTCCATAAATGTGTAGCTTTTGTTTGAATTTTAAATGTTAATATTTAGAATACATATTTAATTGATAAATTGGCACAGAGGGCAGCTTCTGAAAGTGTTATAAAGTGAACCACCCATAAATTTGGGATGATTCATTACCTAAGTCCATCCCTGACAACGTTGCTAAATTGTTAGCAAGGCTGCTATAGTGGATCCGTCAATTTTAGCTCCAGTAATTAAAATAAACAAGTAAATAAATGTTGTGTGGATGTCTACGCTGTCTCTAGCCGAGGTTTCACATCCAACCTTGAAAAAACAAGTAATAGATATTAAATGAAAACTATAAAATGCCCTCTATGAACAAATAAATACTTTTATGGATCTTAACATTAAAAACGGAAAACTAACGTGAGTGCGCAAATTTACCACAGTCTGTGAACGCAACTCCCTTCGATTGAAGCGCGCGCGCAACTTAAAGGTCACCAGAGAAGTAAATAAAGAGAAGATTGGGGTAATTTCTTACTTTTCTCCGCACACTTCCGTCCTGACATCGCAGGCTTGTTTGTTTTCAGTCAGTCGGTGGTGACGGCTCCCTCTCTGGAATAAATAAACAGATGGCGACTCATGTCTCTAAATGCTGTAAATGGATTATCCCCTGGTAATCCTGTGTAAACTACTCCACTAACTGTGAACCACCAGAGCTGGGTGGGTACCAACACTGAGGTAAGTTAGTATATTGCACAGCCTCCAATAGCAGATACACCGTGCAATACAAGTGCATTCATGAACATAGGTATTATCATTGTGATGACTACCACCTGCTGTGGTTAATATATCACATGCATGTTAAGGGAACGCAGGTTTTTGTTCTATGTGCATATGCAATGATGTTGCCAGTCTTGGCAGCATATGCAGAGCATCCTGGATTTATACCAAGCATGTAGGTCAATGATAAATCCACTTACCTTTGTCTGTTGTTTAACTCCAATAGAGTATTTCCAGGTTTAGAGGCAAGCCATTTGCAAATATGAACCTGTGTGCCTCACGCCTGCTCTGCATGTGCAGGGATGCAGCACCATCTGACTTGAGTTCCTGCCTACCTGTGTCTGTGAGATGGCAGTGGAGGCAAAGCCTGTCTGCGAAGTGATTCTGTGTTTGTGACGGACTGGACTCCACTGGACGGGGCAGATCCACGCAGAGAAACGAGTGGTTCCGCTTGCTGTGACCTGGATCTGACTGTAGCCCGTTCTCCCATGTGGCACCAGGACCTACTTGTTATAAATACAGGCCAATCAGAAAAGACTTCATCTGAACGAGGCTAACTTTTAGAGAGGGAAGGTAGGGAGGGGATAGTGAATTAAAGCAAAAAAATGGAAATTTGAGGGAATGATGTCATGGTGAGAGAGAGGAAAAGGAAATATAGAGAGGTAGATGCTGTGACTGAGGCATGGCAGAGGAAATCAAGAATGAAGGCAGAAAATGTTGACCTGGATAATGAAAGTGAAAAGTGAGCTAAAGAATGGATGCTTTAAAAGAAGAATAGAAATTGCGAGATCCTTGCGTTTGTTGGGACGATGCTTGATTTGTTTTTTTGTCTTTAAATTTTACATTTCATCACATCCCAAACACAAGCTTGAAAGTATTTTATTAAAATGTTACAGGGAATGCCAACACAAAGACATTACGTACAAGTGAAATGAAAGAAGAGATGATATGTGATCTTCAAAACAGTTTAAATGGCAAAAATCTAAAGAATTTTTGTTTGTATCTGTGGCCTCTGACTTAATGCTTCATCTATTGAAGCATGATGCTTACATCACCATTTATTTCATTCCGAGAAATAATGTGTTCATGGTATTAAGTTAGTTTTCCTTCATCAATAGTTTATGTGTTTTGTTCAGTGTTGTCTAAATGCAAATTGGTTTCCCTCTGGCTTTTTTTCAAAAATTACTTTTTTCTTCTCTAACAAGCCTCTCAGACCTTTACAGAATGCCCGTTTTCATACTGAGGTTGAATTAGTCAAGGGTGGACTGTGCTAATTAGGCGACTACTGAAACCAGTGTAGTTGTACCATTTATACAGAGTTTAAAGATTTGTCATTCACAAATATGTTTTCCTTCTGCTGCCTGGTGATTATGTTGAAATCTAGCTGTTACTGGCAGCTAGATTTGATGTAATGAGCAACATTGAGATAATAATGTTGAAATGCTTCACACCCTGTAGTTCTGCAGTTGAACCAGCAGGGAGCGCTCTTAACATTACAGTCCTGATTTCTTTTTGACTAGTAATTTCTGCATACTAGTTGACACAGTGTTCCATATATCGTAAAAAAACTATACCCATAAAGTTGGAAAAATTATGTTCTTGTGCAAATTTATCTTTTTTTTAATTATTGCTGTTTAGTTTAAACTGTGATGTGTTTGGAAGAAATTGATGATAAATTATTTAAGAAGATATATATTTTTTAAAGGGATGCCATTCTGTGCATTTACTAAAACTGTATAGTACTGACACACTGATCTGATGTGGATCTAAAACAGATTACGTTTTTTGTTTCATAGTTTTGAGCGTCCACATTGTGACATAGGCAGCATTTTTAAATGCCCTCTATGTCAGGTCAGCCATATTTAGTTTCCCTCATTTGCAAAGGGGGGAATTACAGTCACTCTCCACTTGTTTTCTCTAACTGAGCCTCATTTGGGTTGAACACTCAAGATGGCAATTTTAATGAGTGACTCACATTCTTCTGCTGCTCTACAGTGAAACAGTTTACCGAATACGCTGTGCTTAAGCCAGGGTTTAAGTGGCAGCTGTGTTACTTACAGTGTTGATTCAGATATTAAGTTATTTATGCAATGGCACAGCTTTGTATGTCTCGATATTTGTGCAGAAAATGTAAAGCAACATGTCAATCCTGTGCAGAGTTCTGTATTACTTTTATTCAGACTTTTACTTACTCTACAATTACTATGCCTGTAGACAATTTATGAAAGCCCAGACAATAATGTTATGCCTCTGTGAGCTTCTGATAGGTTAATTCACAGCATTTGAGTTAAACTGAGGCACATCTGGGTGCGTTTCAATGCATCAGCTCAAACCCGGTACTTAATTGCATGACAACATAGAACAATCAAAAGAAATCACCAAGAAGAGAGCTGAGGGCCTCCAATAAGTCTGGCTCATCCTTTTAGCTGAGATTTTAGCTGAGAACTGCAGTGCAGAAAGCAGGTTTAGCCTAATTTATGATGAGAGAGTGAGGAAAACATGGTTATGCTTTTTTTTTTTTTTTTTAAGGAAATCTGCACAACTGTACATATGTGTGCAAGTTCACACACCATTTCATCCATTTTCCAAAAGACATATTGCACAACATTGAACCCTAGGCTAAATCTGCTGTTAGCATCCACTTTGTTGTATCAGTCTGCTGATTTACCCTCCAGTGTGTCAGTCATGTGTGTTAAAGTGCCATTTCAAACAAGTGCAGCGAGGCAGATGTTAACACAAAACACAACTGTAGCAGGTGCACACGTTCAGACATTGTAACTCACATTTATGTAGAGGAACAAATAACATAAATGTTGTCAGGGGTATGAGTTAAGAGAATCTCTAATGCTATAGTGATTGTTTAATCTCCCTTTTAGTGCGTCCAACCTAACATGATTCTCCTGTGCAGATGCTGACTTGTCAGTCTTCGGTGACTTTTGGGCTCCTTCTGTTTCACTATAAATAATCCCGTTGTAAGCGAATGGGACATAACTCTGTGCTGTTTTTTGGTGTCAAATCCCCTGAGAACTCATGTTTCACTCATCCTTTCTCTGCTTCACCGCTCGGCCTCATTCAGGTGACTTTCTGCATTTTTGCCCATGCTGGCTTTCGAACAAGCGGTTTAAATGGAAATCGGTGGCACTGCTGCATTTCTGCTGTGGGTTTTGTATGTGGCAGCACTGGCATCTTGCAGAAATTTCTGCTTAGTAACGTCAAAGGAGAAACACAAAAAGCTTACCTCCTCATATATTTATTCCATATTGCCGAATGCCTCGTTAATCCTGGCCATATTATATTTTGGGGCCTCACCTGCTTTTCTACCCGTTTTTTAGGGTGCTGAAAAAATTAGAAATAACTCTTGGTAATATATTGACATGTAATTCACAGTAAAAAGCCGTGTTCAGTACTATTTTTGTCTCAATATTATGCATTTTATCAAATTTTTACCAGTCTCCTATTATATCATATTAGCCTGACATGACATGACATGATGGAATTTATTGCCTTTTTTGTGTTTGTGCCTAAATAAACATGCTACTTGTTAGAGATAGATAGAAAAATTTTTTACAGACTCGAAGTACAAATTACATAAAAAAGAAAACAAGTACAATAAAAGAATAAAAGGCTCTTAACCATTCAGGAGGCAGTCATACCAATGTCTTCAAAGTGCAGATGAGTGCTTTACTGCACTATATTTAACATTAGTCAGCAGTATAATAATTCTATTATTAGACTAATTTAAGCTTATGTATAAATAAATTTATACATAAGCTTTCTTAAAACAGCCATGAAAGTGCTGTTGCAAGCGGATCCAGTTCACTGGCACAGTTCACTGGCAGTTTATTCACTTGCGATATTAGTTGTTGACACCACGTAGTTTATGTTTACTATTATCTAAGTGGTAAAAGAGTTGTTTGGTACATCGTGATGCCCTGGTTTTAGGTTTCCCTTTAACACTGTTGACACCAACCCAAATCAGTCCTACCTCCCTTTTCAGGTTTTATCCAAGCTCGGAGGGTAACTTTAGTGCCCAAAATTGGATGGCTTTATATCAGAAGCCAGAAAATCTTTAAATGCACAAAGGCAAGGCAATTATTTATATAGCCCTTTTTCAGGATCAATGTAATTTACATAATTAGAAGGAATATAAAATAGAAAACAAGGGGGAAAAAAAGACATTACACAGACTGGTAGTGCTGTACTGTTCCCTGAACCTCTTAGGATGTCAGAAACTTTGAAAAAGGAGTCAGGAGGTGCAATGTGACTTGGACAAAGTCATATTTGCTCATTGTGCAGGTTGGACTTTGTGAGAGCTGCCCCTGGTCACTGTTTGGTTTGAGAAGCTCAGGGTCTCGTCTCTGGATTTTAAAATAGTGGTTCTGTTGACCCTCAGTGTGCACTGATGGAGTTTTCAAATGAGTGTGAAGGATCATCTCCTCTTCCTCTGTTTCCAGACCAGAAAAGGATGGATTGCTCCTTCTGGTCTGGGGTCAGTTTCTGCCACAAGCCAAGAAGATTCAGTAGAAAGTGGGAGGAGATGGATGAACGACTTATTTGCAGTAACCTGGGCGATGGTATGGACCGTCGGGAGCAAATAACTCACTGAGCTCATAATTTATCTCTATTTCACATCTGATCCAGTTTTCTTGAACATGGAAGCCAAAATGACATGTTTAAAAATAAAATGATTCCTTTAGTTCTTCATAATTGGGAGAATATATGGACATTTAATATTCATTGCAGCCAAGAATTAAACATCAGCCATTGTGCAGCACATACAGCAGTAAGACCAGCTAACAACTCGTGCTCATCTAGTAATGAAGTGATCAGAGCTCTGCTTGGTGAAAGGCTGAACTCGACTGGGGTTGCTAGGTGAGAGTCAGCGCCTGATTTAATACCTGGGAGGTTTTTGAAATGGCTCGCTTTCAAGACACCATCAAAAATTTAACGTATTGCCAAAAAATGTCTGCAAGTTTTTGTTTTTTTTTATGCGCTTGTACTGTTTCTACAAACAGTAAAGACCCCAATGGAAGTACAAAAATGTGTAAAATATGTGCATCACAAGCTTTTTATATTGCATTCAGCATTCATTCTTTCTGGCTTTTATTATTATTATTATTATTACTTTTTTTTTTACTTGCTTACTATGACTTAAAACTACTCAATCAACCTAAGCTGCATACCTGCTACAGATGCCAACTCTCAATCGATTACTTGAGCACCAAAGTAAATCATTTTTTATGGCAGTCAGTTCCACCCCTTCCTAGTCCTGCCCTGGGCAACTGCCAATATCACCTGAGGGTGAATAGTTTGTCTCTTTGCTTTTGGCAGTTCTAATGTTTGCAGGTAGAATCCTCTCTATTGATTATGTTTCTGGATTACCTCACAGCTCTGAACGCTTCTGCATTCAACTGGTGATAATTTTACTGCAACACTTTAAAAATATTATGA